TTCTCGAAATAACATGGTGAAAGTATCAAGATCACCAGTACATGTACTTTAAACTGGGCGATGTCACGAGATTGTCGTGTAAAAACTCTTTATTATACTATCGTTCACATTCTATATTTGCTGTGGTACAGATGATAATTTCGTATCAGTTTTTGAAACTAGATGACCCCATGAGAATTATCCCCTGGGGTTTTGGAGGTAATTCATGAATTACGAATGAACGAATTAGTAATCAATGAATAATGAACCAACAAATCAACAAATTACATTACAACTAATTCCCCCAAGTATTGTGTAATTCTAAATTATTAGGCTTGTGGGCACGGTTCTAGAAGCCGTACCTACATACGAATTGGTGACTTCACAAAATACTTACCTTCAATCGGGGTTGTTTCCTCGGTATATACGAATTGGTAAATACAAATTACAATAAAGATACTTAAGACATTACACATAAGGTAAAACAAATCACGTGAGAATATAATGATAATAACGGTAATAAATCCTAACAGTTGAACAGAGCGATCATATAATCAGTCGGGTCACGCCAAGGGTCACGCACTTTGTTGCAAATTGGCTGTGTGGTTGAAACTGGGTCATGGCGTGATGGGTGAGGAAGACATCATTAAACACTCTCAAAATCACAATAAAATGGGGAAGTGGTTGCATATTACGGCGTAGCCAACATGAGTATAAAAAAAACGCACAATACAAATGACATGGGTTCAAATCACACTAGATACACACTCACCAGAACCGCAGCAATCAGAAACCGGCAATCGTTTTGACTTTCCTGTTCAATTCATCGGTACATTGGAGTAGTTAGAAAAATGAACACCACTCAACGACCAACGTCGTAGCGTGGTACACAAGCGTGCCATCAAGATAAAACAAAATTAGCTTGAAAAGACAGTGTGTTCGAGTCCCGCTCAGAGCTACCGTAAAAACGTAAATCAAATAAACTGAAATCTCTCAAACCGTAATAAGTAAACAAAGAACATCGCGAAAAAATAATAAACCTCACGAAACTCTACCATGCAAAACTGAACGAATAAATAATAAAATAACTTATGTCTTAAACTGGACGACACGCAATTTGTTCAACAGTTTCCAGATTGTGACAAGAGATAAACAAGACCCAAGTCAAGGTAAGTTGTGTTAAAGTGTCGATGGCGTTCCCTATATTACGAAAACAAATCAGCCAACAGACGAATATCTTCTGTGGTGTTGTGGTATTTATACTGTGTCTGTGGAATTTTTGATTGAGGGTTCAAAGTCAGCAGTTAACATGTTGTTAGAAAGTTTCACAGTTAAATCAAATATCCAATGATACCAATGATGCACATAGAGGGCGTTTCTGAGCAAGTACTGGTTTCACATCGCTCCTGTATTTTCTCACGACTGTCTCGTCTATTTCACTACCGCAATGAGATGCATTGATTGCAAAACTACCAGGAAAGTTAATCTATGCCAAGGAGACTTACAATTATGCCGAAAATGCGAAGAAAAGAGGTTTCAAACGCCAGCATCTAATACGCCAACAACGACAACAGCGCAAACAATAGAGGACAACATGGCGAGTATGCAAATCTTGTCACCTTCCCCACAAAGTCAAACACGGCCATCACAGCTACTGAGTGCTGTATATGCAATACAGAAATATATACATGACATGAAGACGAATCAGCAAAGTACAGACACTTCTATGAAGTTTATTAATAACCAATTTGAAGAAATGAGAAAAAGAATGGAGAAACTTGAATTGAGTAACACAAACCTGACGCGAGAGAACATCCAATTATGTGACAGAGTTGGTGTATTAGAAAAGGAGCTTCACGATAAAGATCAATACACCCGTCGAATTAACCTAGAAATCAATGGAATTCCAGAACGTGAGAATGGTGAGGAGGATACGGATCAAATTGCGTTATCTGTATTTCGCAAGATGATAGTGGATTCAAATAGTGAGGAATTTGACACACATTATGACAGCTGCAACACTTATTCCTACAATGCATTTCTTGAACTCACTGGAAACATTTCGAAAGGTGCGTTTTCCATCACTCATGTGAAAATAAGATCGCTAACTAAA